TCTCCGTTGAGCCACAAAACCCACAATGTGACCTTGAGCCAATCAGGTGCTCTTTCGGCCTAAGCTGTCTCACACGATTGTTGATGTAAAGTTGAAACTGGAGATACAAAAAACCGTGTATCCTACCTTGAGCTCTTTGGAGGATATATGAACTGTTGCCATCTGGCAGAAGATATAGAACAATTAAGACTCAGAGCACACGTTTTCTGAATAGTTTTTATCCCAGAGCTATAATTGAATGTCTGTGAATTTCATTGTATGGGTATACAGTACTGTGTATATACTTACAATGACAATAAATAAATAAATGAATACATAAATAAATAAATAAATAAGTGAGAGACTGTCCCAGTAAGTAGTAAGTAAGTAAGTAAGTAAGTGAGAGACTGTCCTGCAAGTATCTTCCCAGCTCTGTGGCATTGGCTGAGATGGGGTTAAGAGCTCCGCACCTCCTCCAGCTGTCCATTCTGTCTCTTATCTTGTTACCTGCTTGATTTCAGAGTTGGATTTGTACGAGAGCCTTGTGTTTTATTACTTCGGCGTCCAGGCTGTCCTGCTATCTTACGATAGACAATGAATGCTGTGTAAAAGAAGGAAGATAAATACTTGACCATACTTAATTTTTCACTGTCATAAAGATTGTAGAATGTGGAGTTTTTTTTCTTTGCAGTCCCTCTGGTTCTGGCTAGCATCTCATTTGCAACGTCTTCATTCCCTGCTACCTTAGCAAACAGCCATTCTTTATGCTCTTGGGAGTTATTCAGCAGCTCAAGCTTGAAAGGAAAGAAAGGGCAAAGACAAGCTGACACTTTCTTCTCCCTTTCTCTATGTACCAGTTTCTGGGAGGCATTGCTGTGATGTTTTCTTTCATTTGGTTTCTCCATGCAAAGCAAACTGCCTCTCTGTTTTTTCTGTTAAAAATATCCAAGTGGTTGAAGAAGTAAATTTTTCATAGTAACTGAGTGTGTTAAAATCATGCTGGCCTGCTTTTTCTCCTTGCCACAGCAGCACTGAGCTACTTATTAGAGGCAGCTTAAATATTGCAAACCTCTTCCATAAAATTGTTCCCCACACCCTTTCCTGTCTCCAAAGAGCTGCCGATCCATGAAATACAGCAAAAAGCTCTCTTTTCCAAGCCTTTCTGTGTTGGAAAGCGCTGCCCATGGTGCTGAAATATCCTAGTGTTATGGGTGCAGTCCATCGATGAATAAGTGACTGCTTTTGAAACCCAAACTTAAAAGGCAGACATTGCCCACCTGAGAGACTGAGGGAGCTTGCAGTTTAAACTACCTTGGAAATGGCATGGATATTCTAGCCACCCTACAGAAAAAGCCTGCCAACCCACACTAAGCAGATCCTCTTACATGTTGTAGTCATGCTCATTTTATCAGATTGTACCAGCTACTGTCCATGTGTTGGTTATGTTCATGGCTTCCACTAATTACTTGGAGGCCATGATCCTGAATACCTCTGGGGGTTTTAGAGCTATGGAGAACAGCACAGGGGTGACTTAGGAGGCTGTAGGAGATGAGGGAACTGATAGGAACTTCCTCCTCATTTTCATTTAGTGGTTCCTCTATGAAATTGAAGATATTTCCATGCATGGATGTTCATATTTCCATATTAGACTCCAGTTCAAGATTTTCATTTCTGTATGCAAATAGAAAGCGATGAAATTGTTAGGCTTGTACATTTTCCATCCTGTGAAGGTAAAATGTAGTTTTGGGAAGGATTGCACCTTCTGAAGCCAGTCAGGCAATTGAGTAAATCTCTGGCCCCAGCTGAATGAATGGCAAAACTAACTTCAGTTGTGCCAGAACTTTTGCTGGTCTTCAACACTTTATTACTTGCATGTTAAAATAAAATTATGGGAGCCTTGCAAGGACCTGAATGGGAAGAATGTGGCTAAAAGAAATATATTGCCCTTTGTTTTGAAGCAGTTGTTATTCTCCTGCAAGCCAAGTCACTGTGTTGTGGTGACATAACTTTGGAGTGGGACTGAAGCTGCCAAGCTCAAGTTCCAATTCCAGCTGGAATTTTATTGAGTAACTTTGTCCTATTTGGACTAATCTACTACATAGAGCTGTTATGAGGATAGAAATGGCAGAGCAAAGAAGATACACTATCTTGAACTCCTTCAAGAAAAGGAAAGCTTATACATATAGTAGCCTAACATATTCCTACTCAGATGGTCACTTTTTCTCCTAAATTTTCCCACAGAGTTGTTGTGTGAATAAATTGGATGGATGTTCCACAGCCAGTGCCTGAGTGCTCTCTTCCTGAAGATGGTGGTGGTGCTGGGACTGTTAAATAAAGTGCTATTTTTGCTCTACTGCAAAGACAAGAAGCTGCTTATATTGAATCAGACCATTGTCAAGACTCATTGTTCCAAACACTATTATTTCCAAGTCATGACTGGAAACTCTTGATGCTGTCTACTGGCACTATGCTGCTTAGCTTCCAAAATTAAATGAGATGATTGTGTCTAGATGCCCAGTGTAGTGTAGTGTATAAAGTGACAGACTAGGAGTCAGAATACCTGGATTCAGTTCCCCAACTCTGCGTGGAAATTCACAGGGAGGTGGAACTTGTACAACTACTCCTTAAATACTGTATCTCACTTACCTTGAAAGCCCTATAAGCATCACCGTAACTAAGTTACGAATTGACAGCACATAATAACAACAAATTGTCTTCAAGGAAATGTATCTTTCATACTATCCACAAGACAAAATAACACATTTCGGTTACAGCTCATGTCGCTTGCCACGTAGATTAAAAATAACCAGCTATCTCACTTTTTAACTATCCATCCTGGAGGTCAGAAAAGATATACTTTCAGAATCTCTGTCATGTTTTTTTTCTGCTTCTGTAGTGTAGCTGAAATGTTGAGAGGATTTCCATGAATTCTTGAGCATTTTAGAAAGCAGCATTACTTAAGGCACTGTCTAAAAAGACTATGGGTAGCAGGATAAACCAGTGGAAATTCTGAAGACTCTCCTTTTTATGTTGATCTCTAACATAAGAAGAGAGAGAGAGAGAGAGAGAGCACTATTTGACAGGAAGGAGTTAAGGTGGATCAAATGATGGCAGCTTTGAAAATGGCTACAATAGAAAAGAACTTGAACAGATGAAGATAGTAAAACCAAAACCTAACTTCAGGGCATAGTGGGGGCTGATTCATCATTCTACTGGCTATATTGCAAGTGCAAACTAATCAGAATTTTGCATATGTTTGGCTTTGAGGAGTGTGTATTACTGCTGTCTCCGAGGAGACAAAAATCTGTGTTTTTTTAATTTGTGATCTGGCAATCTGCTGTGTTTCATTGAATGGCTTATTGTTACCAGTTGTGCTTTAGCCTATTGCAATATGAATATTTTGGCCTTTCCCAGTTTTTCTGAGTGTGAAGATTTGTTGTATTTCACTGTGTTCTGAATACCAATGTGGAGGATGATGCTTCCACATACAGAGCAACAGTGGCAAGCCTTTGAAATAAGCTGTAACACTCATTCAAAAGACAAGATAATTTTCTGGGACCAAAAGGTCCTGATAAAAATGTGTGTGTCCACACCAAAATACTTTTAATAAAGTTTGAACAAGTTACTTTTTCATCACAGCTCCACAAATGCCAACTAGCTATGCTGGCTGAGGAATACTGGGAAATATAGTTCCAAACAACACCCCCACACACACCATTTCAGAGGTCGACTTCTGCATATGCACCAGGATCGTTTTTGATATCTTTTCCTTATACTTTGTCACAGACCATTCCAGAGTATTCTCAAATTTTAATGATCTATGGATCACCAAAATAAGTGGGGGGGGGAGAGAAGACCTCTAGATGAAATCAAGCCGTAATTCTTCTGAGGAGCTAAAATCTTTAAAGTGAGGCTGTTGGGAGCCATTAATTTATTTGGCTGCAACAAACTGGATGCTACTTGGTGGCACATAACACACACATATTGTAATAATTTCCAATTTGGATGATGTCATGAACCAAAGCGCAGCAAAAGCAGAAGTATAAGCTTCTGAACTGCTCCCACCTATGGAAAAAGGGGAAGGAAATTGATCAGTACATGAGTCCAAAGTATCATGGCCAGTACATGAGACCAAGGCATCTCTTTCCAACTTCATCACACCCAAATTTGTTTGATTTTAGGGTTAGGCCAGATAAGTACTTGGATGAAGACCGTCAGGGTTCCCAGGACTAGCAAAGAATCCTGCCTGAAACCTTGAACAACAGTTGCTAGTCAAAGTTGACAATACTGAATTTTGATGGGCAAGTTGTGTGACTCAGTGGAAGGTAGCTTCCTGGGTTCTTTTTAGGAATGTGCATCCTTATTTGTCTTATAGTTACATGCAGGAATGAAAAGTCACACATTTTTCCCTTGCCGTTAAGAATGGTGAGGCATTTCTTAGCACTCTTAACAGAGTCCTGGCACTGATAATAGTGATGACTTGTGTGTTCATTCACACATGAAAAATGCGTTTTTGGTCAGTGTTGCCATGTTTTTGTGCAAAATTGTCCAGTTTTTGCACAGAAATATGCTGTTTGTGCAGTTCTTGGGCAAATTGCCCCAAGCTCCCCCCACCCGTTTTTATTCAAGATTTTGCTGTTCTACATGGGTTGTATGAATGTTTCTTAACAATTGAGCAATTCTTCTGTTCTTGCTGTGTGTCTGTATGTGTACCTTACTTCTCAAAACAAACCAAAACTAGCTATTATTATAGAGACCTTGAAGGAGAGAAAGAGTTATTTATCTTGATCTTAGAGGACCTTTAAAATTCTTCTTCAATGTGTCTTGTGCTGATTTCCTATCCTTCCATTTTTTTTCTTCATGCCCACCTCTCTGGACATGAAGAATCTGCTTGCAACAGGTGGTCATCCTGCATTATCAGAATATTTTTCTCTTAATTATCTTTCATGTAATATAAGGCAACAACATATTCAAATGTATTTTTGATTGTCTTTCCCTTCTCTTCTTTTTTTCTTTTACAGATGTTTTGATGTCGGGCTGCATAGATTTCTCATTAGGTAAGACAATATTTATTATTTACCACTGCACTGTGATGTATATCAAGATCATTTTGGCACCGTTTCCATAAATCAGAACTATCAAATGTTGTACAACTTTGTTGACTCAGCAGATTCTAAGTTGATCCAACTATATGGGTTTGTTCTGTATCCTGACATCTCCACATATAGAAAGGTGGAGCTGACTTTCAAAAAATATGCTGTCACCCAATCTTTGTGACCCTCCCACAACACTTTGTACCACAGAAAAGTCCTCATCAAATTGATGTTTTCAGGGAGTTCTGAGGCCCTGAGAGGAGGCAATGAGAAACAACAAGAAACCAAAAGAGAAGGGAATGAGAGAGCCGGCATCTGTCTGTTTACTTCTCTGAGCAAATAGCTAGATATAACCCTTTGTATCAAGAAACATGCAGAGTCATTTTGCACTGGAGTTTAAAAGAGGACCTTGCCATAACCTACATTTTCCACTACCAGACAACAAATTAAATAATAAGGCCTTTGATATGATTCTCAGAGCAAGGTTTATTTATTTAAAGATTATTTGCTTTTACTTGCTAGTGAGAGAAGGACATTCTTCCAGCACCCACAGCAAAGTGGAAGACTGATGATTCTTCAGTGCAAATATATTTTATCTGCTGTACTGAAGGCGGGCAAAAAATTAACAGTTGATTGCATCATATCAAGCACTGGAATGAATACCATAGGAAAGTACTACATAACAGATGAACACACTGTTACAATACTATCTAAACTGTAGACAAATATTTATGAAAACGCAGCTGACAAAACAATCATGTATATTAAACAAGTAACATGGCTAGTATGCGTCTGAAGATGGGACGATGGAAGGAGATTACGAACTAATACTCTGCAGTATTTGTTTAGCAATTGTGTAGGAAATTGTCTACTCCAACTATCTGATCAGTTGAATAGCAGGCCTCTGTTTACCCATGGGTACCATTGGAGGGAAGTGAGAGGAATTCACCTGGGGGAATTCCAGGAACTCTGGGGTCATGACATGTTCTGTTTCAGAAAAGTCTAACCGCGTAGCTTATCTCCTGTCTGCAGTACTACCGTGTTTCCCCTAAAATAAGACAGGGTCTTATATTAATTTCTGCTCCAAAAACCGCATTGGGGATTATTTTCAGGGGATGCTTTATTTTTTTTCATGTACAATCTACATTTATTTAAATAGAGTCATGCCATCTTCTTCTGGTTGCTGCACAATGGTGGAAGGCAGGCGTCACTTAACTAGGGCTATTTTTGGGGTAGGGCTTATATTACAAGCATCCCGAAAAATCATACTAGGGCTTATTTTCAGGGGGAAAGGGTAGCCGGGGAGGAGTTTTGATCTTCCTGGGGAGTAGCCATGTCAGTCCGTTGTAGCTGAAACAACAAAAAGTCTTGGCATCTTAAATGTGTACATTTAGGTATTTATAAATATTTGCCTACTAAGAGTTTATGCATCTACTGAAGTGGGTTGCTATTAACAAAAGCTGATAATAAATATGTGTTGTTAGTCTATAAGGTGCCACAAGACTCCTTGTTTCTAAACTTCGTCTCCTTCCCTTAAGAGTTCTGTTCTTGTTCCCAGAACATAATTGGGAAATATGTGTTCTTTCAAATGCTATTGGACTAGCACTCCTAACAATCCTGAGTATGCTGGCTGCTAATGAAACTTGGGTATCCAGAGACATCTTCCAGCATTTGCATTCCTCACCCTGCTTTGGAAAATTGGTATCTCCTGCGTACTCCTGTCTATTGCTCTAGAATTGTACCACCAACTGGTTTAGCATTTCTTTCATTTAGCCTTGTGCTAACTTTTCTAGGGTTTTGTTGGAAAGAGTGGGATTTCTTGGGATTACTGGTCTCACAATTCTTCATTCTAGGAGTTCTACCTGACAGAAAGCTATCTACGTGTGATGTATCTACGAAAAGCCTCAACTGGATGGCTTTGATGCTGAAAGAAAACTCCCAGCTAGCATTAGGGCAGGAACAAAAAGATTGGGTAGATCTAGGCCTGGCTCAGCCTCAAAACCTTCCAGTTCAGGCCTTTCTCCTGGGTGAACCACATTTATTCAATTCAATTTAATTTAATCATTTATTTATTCATTTATTCATTCAATTTCCATACCGCCCATCTGACCAATGGTCTTTAAGGTGCCATGTTTTTGACTTTTTTATATTTTGTTTCTTTGAATTTTGCCTGATATACAATATCATAAACATAGTTAAAAATGAAAGTAAAAAAAATTAAAATTGGCATTTTGGTGTCTATCAGGTAAAACGTGAAGAATGGAGAATTGGATTTGTACTCCAAGGCATCAAAAAATTCCATTTCTGTTCTGCAATCCTTGAAGAGAAGGTCCAACATAATAATTGCCTTTTTCAAAGTTTGCAGGTGGGAGACCAGGGGAAGTGGAAGGGGTTGGCGCGTTAACACCTGTGGCATGTCCAATTCTCCATTTTTCAGACATGGTGACTGCTAGTGCTGGTTCTGCTGTTTTTAAGGCAAATGAAATGAATGCATTTCAAGATAACCTGTTGGTTAATTCAACGACATACAGAGATAGGAGATTGCAGTTGCTCATTGTGAGGGAATGCTATCTGGGGATAATGAGAACAGTGGTCTAGCATATCTGGAGAGCATAAAATTGGGGAAGATCTGTTCTGAGATTACTGCTAATGTTGAAATTAAGCTCTTTGGCTGAAGTCTAGTGAGGTCTTGGCAAAAATTAGCTTACATGAAGAAGGAGCAAAGGAAAATTTGTCCTCAGTTGGGGATGATGGTGGCTGGCTATGTGTGTGTTCAGATAAAAGAAACAAAAATAAATACCAACTATTTTTATGAAAAGTTACTAGATGGAAGGAAAAACAAGGAGGGATTGTGTAGGAGAAAAGAGAATGTGTGTACGCTTTGCAGTTTGTTCGTACCTGAAAAAAATGAATGTTTAATCTCCCTTTCAAAAAGCAGAAACATTTTATCACTCTCTTAATGCTGAGAATAAAGGAAGTCATCTGTTGCTCCATAATAAGCAAAAAGCATTCTGCATCTGCTCAGATATACACTCTAACTATTACTTTTTCTTCAAGAATCCTATGCTGTAGATTCAGTTACTAATCTTGGACTAGTCACTTTTTCTTGTGCCTAAGTGTTTCTTCCCTATAAAATTGGATAAACATTCTCTAAATTGTATAAGCACATAATAGCTGAATAAACAACTAGATAAATTATCTTACGTTGTGTGCCCATACTTTCATCTCTCTGAACCCATCTGCTTGTATGTGATTTTAATGATGAATTCTAGTTGTAGGGCATTTGGGTCTGGATCCAGGCTATGACAATGAACTGCTAACCACTACCCCTAGCCATAAGTACATGTATGGATACCTTTGAATTTTCTGTCCTTGATTCAAAGACTGTCCTTTGTCCTTGTCTAGGGTTTCCCATCTGTAAAATGGGTTGAAGATCTTCCCAGAATTGATTATGTAGACTTAATTCTGTGAAAGACATACACGGGAAACTTTAACTTGTGATGGTTGTTGTGGGTTTTTCGGGCTCTTTGGCAGTGTTCTGAAGGTTGTTCTTCCTAACGTTTCACCAGCCTCTGTGGCTGGCATCTTCAGAAGATGCCGGCCACAGAGACTGGCGAAACGTTAGGAAGAACAAGCTTCAGAACATGGCCGAAGAGCCCAAAAAACCCACAACAACCATTAGATCCCGGCCTGAAAGCCTTCTCAAATACTTTTAAGTGGTGACTTGTCTCATTTATCAAATCATTTTCTCTGTATGCACAATATTAATTCCTCTGATGGTTGCACTCCTGACCTTGACATCTTCAATAAAGATAGGTTCTTCTAACACAGACCTAGGCAAAGTGCGGCCTGAGAGCCACATACGGCCCGCGAGCCGCTCCTGTCCGACAGACTGGATTTCTCTCAATGAACAAATTGAACATCAAGTTGATCACTTGCTTATCTTTAACATACCACAAAAAAACACTCTTTAGTATTTATGAATATTAACAAGTTTAAAATAAAAACAATCATAACATCACTGTTACATTTTATTTTTAAGTAAATGGTTCGGCCCCCAAACACAGTTCAGATTTTTCATGTGGCCCCCTATGGAAATTAATTGCTCTCCCCTGTTCTAATACATGATGAGGAACTGTGCCTAGTCAGAAGGATTCCTGGGGGTGCCAAAAATGCCTGCCATTAGACCCTTGACTCTGAAAGAGCTCTAAATTAGAGCTGTCATTTCAAATATTTTTACTTGGTAGTTTCAGCTATCAAATCTAATAGCTTTTGTGGTGGTTGCTGTGTCACATCCACCTTATGCTAGCCTGTGCGTTAATGAATTCTAGAGATTTTTGTTGTTAATATCCCTACTCAGGACTTTTCAACTCAAGGATGTGGTTTCCATTTTTGAACAAATCCATCTTATATTCATGCTGCCACTTTTTTGGTACCTTCACATTTTCCCAACAGCATGTCATGATTCTGCTGTTTATCATTTAACATGTTAGGTCTTCTTTCATCTGGTTTTCTAACCAGTTTAGTCAAAGCACACTTTGTTCCTATTTTTAATCCATTTTTATTGAATTTTTATGGGTGATAAAAAAGTTAGTGTGAAATGGTTAACTGCTTAGCTGACTGTTAGTGAGTCCAGAAAATCTAATTTAATTAGGTTTAAGTTGTCAGGGGCCAATTTTTAAGTTTAGTTAATTTGAATTCATGTTTTAAGCTAGGTGGTTATAGTAAAGTATCACCAAAAGAAAATAGAAAAATGTCATAGATTATTATATTTATTTGACCTAGCATCCCTGTTTTGAGGCTTGGAGAGAATGAAACAGGTACTTGAATTTTTTGAAGAACCCAATTTCCATAACCCCACCCAAACCACATTTAGGTATAGAATCTTTTAAGCTTGCACTATAAGGTTAATTAAATGACATAGGCTGCTGGGTTATGCCTGTTCTGCACTTTGCACATCCACC